TCACACCATGGATGGATGGATGGATGGATGGATGCAGATGTCAACGAGTGCGTCGAGACCCGCAGCACCGGCGAGCAGCCCTCCGACGAGGCCGAGACTCTTGAGCTCAAGGTGGATGTCTGCGGCGGGGGCGTGTGCATCAACACCCCCGGCGGATACCGCTGCGAGGCCTGTCCGGCAGGCTTCACCAAATATGGAGAGACCGAGGAGCAGGAGGCCAGGCCGCAGGCACGGACCACGCAGCTCTGTGGACTGGTGGAGGTGGTGAAAGCTTCAACCCTTTTGGAGGCGGTGCAGGCGAGCCAGGAGAAAGGCGGCCGGCTGGCCGCCCTCAAGACATGGGACGACTCGCAATTTGCTGAGGTAAGGCCATCTTTCCCTCCCTTTCTCCCTCCCTCCCTCCCTCCCTCCCTCTCTGCCTCCTTCACATCATGTCTTTTGTAGGAGTTGCTGACGTCTTCGGAGCTTGTCACGCTCCCAGCATCGCTCTGGCTAGGGATGCACCGCAAGGTGGGGGAGCTCTGGAAGTGGCTCGACGGCTCGCTTGTCAACGTCGACGACCTCAAGTCCCGATACATCTCGATCGACGAGGCCGGCGCCCCCGACAAGAAGAAGGACGCCTGTGCGGTCCTGCACATGACCGCCCAGCAGGCAATGTCCATCAAGGCCCGCCCGTGTGGTGCTCAGGGGGGGTCTGCGGGCGAGCTGGTGTTCGCTGCGCCCCAAGTGCTGATCTCAAAGGGGCCCACGTGTACGTGACAGAGAGAGAGGGAGAGAGGGAGAGAGTGCCATCCCTGTGTCCACGAGCTGCGTGTTGTCTTGTCAGCTGCTTGTAACGACGGCGTCCGCAATGGCGACGAAGTGGGCATCGACTGTGGCGGCTCATGCGCAGCCAAATGCCGTAAGCAGCCAAGGAAGACAACAGCAGCAAGGAAACAAACACTCTCCACCCTCCTGCTTACGTCTCTTCGTGTCTCTGTCTGCCCATCACCAGCCCGGAAGGTCATAGGCGAGTCGGGCAAGGTGCGCCTGGGCATGAAGCCCAAGACAGTGTCCATCACCGAGAACCTGCAGTACCCCGTCGTCCTCGCCGGGCCACCCACCGCCCGCGGCATCCGCCCGCTGGTGGTGCGCGTCGGCAACATGCGCCGCGGTGGGGCTGGGGGGGCAACAGCAGAGGACATCGGGCCTGCCCCCTGCCCGACAGGCAGCAAGTGGTGCTTCGACATCCACCTTCAGGTCGGGCACTTGACACAATTGCCCTGTGCAGTTGGCGGATTGGGAATTCTCCCTCTTTCTTCCTTTCTTTCTTAGGTTGGCAACGTGACAGATGGCTGGCACAAGCAGGAGCGAGTGGACTGGCTGGCCGTGGAAGCCGGCCTCTTCCGCTCTGACGACGGCCACCTCTTCCAGACGGGATCGGTGGAGGTCCCCGGCGACCGGGCCTTCCACGCCGTGCTCTTCGACGACCCTTTCCCCACACCACCGCTGATCGTCCTGCAGGTGACTGCCATCCAT